TCCCTCCCCTTCCTTCCCTCTCTTTCCTTTCTTCCTTCTTTCCCTCCCTTCCCCTCCTTCCTCCCCCCCCTCCTTCCCTGCCTTCCTTCCTTCCCTCCCTCCTTCCATCCATCCATCCTCCTTCCCTCCTCTCCTTTCCTCTCCTTCCTCTCTCTTCCTTCTCCCTTCCCCTTCTCTTCCCCTCCTCCCTTCCTTTCCCCCCTTTCATCCGCCATGACTTTGCTTGCTGCCCTTGCCAGCAAGAGGGAGAGACACACACACAGAGAGAGAGAGAAATGGAGGGAGGGGGAGGCGGCGGCCGGCCACGATCAATGCCTGACCAGGACAGGCCCCACGGCGGGGGCAGCGGGGGCCACGGGAAGGGGGCAAACAAGGGCACACACACACACACCGCAATGCAACCCCCATTCACCCATTGGTTGCACAATGAGACCCAGGCCCAGGTTGGGAGGGGGCAGCTCTAAAGCAAGCCCACCCCCCCTTGAGTTAATGGCAACATGGAGTGAGTGATGGTGAAGGGGGCAAGAGGAAAAAGGTGGGGGTGGGATGCGACCCACTGAAAGGCGACCTCAAGCCAATTATTGTTGTTATTATTATTATTATTATTATTATTATTATTATTATTATTATCTTTAAGCCAAGCAGGGGAAGCCATCCTTCTGCCTCTTGACCTGCACCATGGGGGGGGGGGGGGAAGCAAGGGGGGGGGCTTCCTGCATGGGCAAAAAGTGGGGGGGGGTCCTGGGGTGGAGGGGAAGGGCAGGGATCAGCTTGTGGTGGTGGGAGGGTGGTATCTGTTTTTATTCCCCCCCCCCCCCACACACACACACACACACACACAACTTCTGTTGTGGCTGGAACTCCCTGGACACTTATGGCTTCTTGGTCAGGCCTGGGCCAACTTCGGCCCTCCCTCCAGGTGTTTTGGACTTCAACTCCCACAATCCCTAGCTACACAGAGAAGCCACTGACATCCACAAGAAGCACGTGAACCATCTCAACAGAGAGGAGATGCCATGCACAAAATCTGGTTGGTGAAAATTGAGGCATCAAACAGCACTCAGAAACAGGGGAACTCCAGACTGACATCGATCAAGGGCCAGTTAACACCTCCCAAACCCCCAGAGAGTAACAACCAGGCTTTGAAGCTGCAAGACCATTGAATGCTAATCAAGATGACCAATGGCAACATCCACACTTGCCTCCAACAGAGAAGGGGTCTTTCTCCCACCCCGGACACTACTCCACATGGATATATACCGCGTTTCCCTGAAAATAAGACACTGCCTTATATTTATTTTTCCTATGGATAATTTCCAGGGGGTGTCTTCTTTTTATCAAGTATACAATCTGCCTTTGTGGGACGATCTCCCTGGGCCGAGGGGCAGGCTGCTTGCTGAAGCTTTCCCCCGATCTCTCCCCTGGTGTATGTGGGGGGTTGGGGGGTGGGAGGGACCCACAGAGTGTTGCTGGTTGGTGCTGGGGAGAGAGGGGGGGAGACCCACAGGGCTGAGTCAAACACAGCTACAGATTTACTTCTTTCCCCTGAGGACACACAAGACCTCAAGCAGAGTATCCTCTCTTCCCTGAGGACACATTGCCTTTCACTTTCTATGTTTCCCTCTAGGCTGCCACCGGGACATGACGGGAAGCCGGCCCTGTACGCTGCACAGCCATGACTATCACTAGGTCTTATTTTCGGGGTATGTCTTATATTACACAATCCTGCTCCGGCTTATTTTATGGGTAGGCCTTATTTTCGGGGGAACAGGGTACATCCCTCTTGCCTCATTTCCAACAGAAATCACAACCTCTGAAGATACCTTTCAGCACATACGCAGGTGAAATGTCAGGAGAGAATGCTACTAGAACATGGCCAGGCAGCCCGGAAAACTCACAGCAACCCCACGTATTCATTGATTCCAGGTAGACTGAGCTGGGATGTGCAAACGTCCTTGTGGGCAAAGGTGAGGGCCCGGATCTGTCCCGGCCGCTCTCTGCTGGGCCCCCCTCCCCTTCCCGCTCCCCCTCCCGTTCCCCCTCCCGCCCTGGCTGCCTTCCCCTCTTGCCATTTGGGCTTCACTCAGTTGTGAAAAGGCTTCTGATGCATAAAGCGAAGCACTTAGCA